AAAAATCATAAAAATCTTCTTCAATGCTAGACCTATACCCATATCAAATGAAGGGAGACTCTCTTTTTTATACAAATTAAGGGAGACTCAAATCCATACCCAAATTTTTAATGGTGAGATTACACTCTGATGGGCCCAGCTCATATTAGGCCCAACTCAGAGGCGCAATCCATAATTACAGACCAGGACCAATGCAGAATTATAGACTAGGCCTAAAATCACAGACGAGGTCCAACTCAGAGTGCCCAATTTAGGAATGTAGGCTAGGCCCACTGTAGTAAGGAGCAAGTTAAGCCAATCACGCCATCTTGAGAAAGGGTCAGGTCAGCTGTCTCATGGCAATAGACTTAGTCCATAACTGACAGGCAAAGAAATCTCCTTAGGACACAGACGTCGCCACCTCCACAGAATTGTCTCACCTATTAAAAGAAGGACGCCACCTCTACCAAACTACTTCACCAAATACGAGAAAATATGCATCAATCTATTAGAAAGCGCCTATAAATTGTAAGCCCCACCTACACAAAGGGGCATCACACACATCTCTCACACTTGAGCACCCTATCCTCCTTGAAGTAATAAAACTATCAGGTCATCCTAGCCCTTCACAGTGGAGTAAGTCACCCTGACCGAACCACTTAAATTATGTTTTACTTATGTTGGCTCTTATCATTTAATATTGTATTAAATACTTGACAGGTAATGCATAAATTCACTTTTGTGTATCATCAGTTTGGCGTCATCTATGGGAAACGACTAAGTTTTCTACTGTCTTTTTGATTCTTCGTACTATATTTTTTTGTCATGGCTATTACAATTAGATTCATGAACCAACAAGAGGAAGACAACGATCCACCATATCACGATGAGGTCCCGGCCCCACCAACAAACTTTGTCATTGCGAAAAACCCTACCACTGTAGGAAACGCTGCAAACCCTGTCACTACGGCAAATTCCGTAGCCGGACAACAACTACAGGAGATAATACAATTGTTGGTGAACCAAAAACTATAAATCTTCCAATTGTTGCTCGTCGGACACCCTCAAGGAGTTGTGCCCCAACGCCTAGGAGGAGAAGCACCCTAGGTAATTTGCCTTTGGCGCCCCTCAGCAGGGCCCTCAGCTCCAAGGCGTCTCCTAACAGAGCGCCCCCCAGCGTGAGGGCATCCTTCCTCAGTGCCCAGGCTCCTCCTACTATGTGTTTGCTTCGTCCTCCCACACTGGTGACTCTTATATGCACGAAGACGAGGGAAAAACTAGTACATAGACCATGAAAGCCACTACAACGGTCCTTCATAGGGCGTCCCTAACCAATGGGACAAAAAAATCAAGGAGTTGCAAAATCAATTAGGCGACGTTTTCAACGTCATCAAGGCATGGGCGCTAGAAATAGTCAATCACCATGTGAGGCACACTGACACTCCATTCATAATTGATGTGGGGAACTACCCCTCCCCTCAAAATTCAAGAAGCCACTCGTGGAAGCTTTTGATGGCTCCAAAAATTCACTGGATCACTTTAACACCTATAAATCCCTGATGCAGTTGTACAACATACCAAACGAGATCATGTGCAGGGTTTTCCCTCCCACCCTCAAGGGATTTACTCGCAAATGGTTCGTCAAGCATACCCCCGTTTTTATTGACTTTTTCGTTGAACTAAGCAAATCGTTAGTCTCACACTTCATTGGGGGACACCGACACCAGAAGCCTACCACCCACATGTTCCACATCAAGTAGGGTCGGGATGAAAGCTTAAGGAGTTACCTCACTTGTTTTAACGAGGAAGTCCTTCAGATTGAAGAACCAGATGACAAAGTCATCATGGCGACCTTCACATAAGGGTTGCACTCATCCATCCTTATGTTTTCAATTTTGAAGCATCCGACAAAGAACATGATATAATTACTATCAAAAAATCAAAAATACATGAACGTTGAGGATATCACCAGAGTCAAACAAATTGAAACCAACAACCACCAAGGGAGTACGAAAAATAGAAATCAACAACCACCAGCTAGGCGCATAGCGTTAACGCCTAGCCAAGTGCCAACAGGCAACGTCCATGCGCTCACGCCCGCGACGCCCAGCGTCTAGCCCGCAAAACCCACACCTGCGGTGGCACCCTGCCCGTAACGCCCAGCTTCCATGCCAGCGCCCAGCGGCACCAGGCCTCGCCGCCCTTGGCGCTTGTCTTCTTGCCCGCCTGGCTGCGCCGCCTGTATTGCATGACCAACTTGTACAGCAGCACCCCTGGCACCTAATAGCACCCTCACCTAACGCCCATGCTCCACTGGCTCTGTCTTGCCGGCACCCTTTAGCTACCTTCACTGTCATCTACTTCCTATAATCCATATCTTGGCGAAAATCCTCTTGAGACATCAAAAGCTTGGTCAAAATTTGTCTCTACTCTCATGCAAGCAGCTTTAGTCTCTAGTTTAACGGCTCTCTCACGAGTCACCAAAAGTTCGGCTTAACTCTGTCTATACTCTCACGCAAACAGCCTCAATCTCCAACTTAGCGACCCTCAGGCGAGTCACCAAAAGTGTGTCCTAACTCTGTCTCTGCTCTCACGTAAGTAGCCTCAGTTATCAGCTTAGCGGCTCTCTTGCGAGTCGCTAGAAGCTCGTCCTTCTCACGAGTCGCCAAAAGCTTGACTAAACTTTGCTCTGCTCTCACGCAAACAGTCTCAATCTCCAGCTTAGCGGATCTCTCGTGAGTCATCAGAAGCTCGGCCTAACTCTGTCTCTACGCTCATGCAAGAAGCCTCGGTCTCTAGAAAATAGTAGTTGAATCAAACAATCAGATAAGTCTCGACCTCAAGAGGTGTAGCTCTCTCGTAAGCCACCTATAACTCCTCCTCTTTAGCCCCACTGTGTCTACCTCTCCTTCATCAGAGTTTAGTTACTAAAAGAGGACGAGGATAAAAAATTTTATTGATGCCCTCTCCCCCAAATCCCATTAGGCTCAGGGCATTGGGGGAAAATGACCAGCCCGGCCCATACTAGGCCCATAATCACAGGCAAGGCCCAGCTTAAAGTGCCCAGTTTAGGAATGGAGGTCAGGCCCACTATAGGAAGGAAGAAGCTAGGTCAACCACACCATCTTTAGATAGGGTCAGGTCAGCTGCCTCATGGCGAGTCCATAACTGACAGGCAAAGAGATCTCCTTGAGACGCGCACGTCGCCACCTCCACGAAATTGTCTCACCTATTACAAGAAGGGCGCCACCCCCACCAAACTACCTCACCTGATACGAGAAAAGGCGCCTCAATATGTTAGGAAGCGCTTATAAATTGTAAACTCTACCTACACAAGAAGACATCTCTCACACCTCACACATATCCTATAAAGCACGAATACTTCATTAAGGTTGATATACCCCGTATCCAATACCGTATCAGATACGATACTTGTCGGATACTCAAGGATACGTATCGGATACACTTTCTACGTATCCGATAATAATTAAATATTAGAATACTTCACGGATACTTTTGTAGTCGAGTAATATATATAATTTTTGAGTTAAACATTTAACATCTCTTTTCAAATTCACATACCATATAATACACTAACAAAAAATTTATATTACTTCAAAGGCACATGAGTGTTTCTTAAATATTATCTACAATTACATGTCAAAAGAGTATAAAATAAAACTATTATATTATTATCTTAATAAAAATTACTTCTAAATACTAGGTAAATATTTGCTTTGATTGCTCTAATTAGTCATTTCACTCTGTGAATATACTATAGTGATGCGACATATATTTTCTTGAATCTAAAAAAAATTACTAATTTTCCTTATTGTATATTAAAAAACTACAAAAATATATAAGTATTAAGCTGGTTGAAAATAATAAAAATAATAAATATATTTTATTATAGTCGTATATTGGTCGTACCCATATCATACTTTTTTTGACTTTGTCTTATCGCTGTATTCGTATTGTATCGAACCCGTATCTCATATCCGTATCTGTCCTTCATAGCACATATCTCTCATACTTGAGCACCCTACACTCTTTGAAGCAACAAAACACTCAGGTCATCCTAACCCTTTATAGTGGAATAGATCATCCTGACCGAACCACTTAAATTAAGTTTTGTTTGTGTTGGCTCTCATCATTTATTATTGCATTAAATACTTGACGGGTGGTGCATAAATCTACTTTTGAGCATTATCACACCCTCCTTTAAAGATTCAATAGTCATATTTTATCCTCATTTAAATTTAAATTTGTCCTCATTTAAATTTGAGTTTCTCTCTCTTTAAATTTGAATTTTTCCATTAGAGAAGTTTATACCAAATTAAATTTTTTTTTTTTTTTTTTTTAAATTTGAATAAGGGTTCAAATTTTCATTCAAGATGGTCTTAGGTTGATCGCACTTGAAGCCTTTATAATTTAGAGCTCAACTTTTTGGTGAGTCAATTCTATGATATAATTTAGCACTAGTGGCCAAACATAGGCGAAAGACATGTTTTACACTTCTCCTCCTCATGTTTTTCCCTCTATCTCCCACCACCTAAGAAGCTAGGTAAAAATTACCAAAAGTTAAGGGATCATAAATATAATTTTGTGAAATCAACTTTAAATAAGTGTTGATAAGTTAGTGGGAAATGAAAATTTAGGTATAAAGAACATATGGGACAATGTGACAGAGGAATTTTTTCTTTTCCAATTTAATTTTTCAAATTTCTAAGAAATTATAAAATAGAAAAGGAGTATCACTCAAGCTCTCATTTTTTGAAATTGATTATTTTATGTATCTAGTTAAATAGGATGAACTAAAGTAATGATCCTCAACTATGACATTTTGGGTCATTTGATACTTATCCTTTCAGTTTTATAACTTTAGACTCACAAATTTCTATTTTGTCACTTGGTCTCATTGAGTATGACAATTTAAATTAACTAACATAAGCGATCATTTGATTAATTGAAAAACAGCAGTATTACTAGACTGGTATTACCGAAAAATAGTATCTGCTGATCGCTAAATCTATAAGGTCCAATGTAAAGGCAGAAGGAAGAAGGAACAGACCTAATTTTAGAAAGCGTCCCAAGCAATATGAAGCCATTCATGAACATTGCTATACATTTTTCCAGAATAGAATTACCTGTATGTATAGCTTTGTGAAACCCGATAAATTTAATAAATTAATTATGTTAAATGGGTAACGCGGTATTAAGGCTTTTAAGCGAAATACGAATCTAAAATTTGCATTGCTTGGGTATGCAAATTTCGTTAAATTCTAAATCATGCGAAAAATCACGTTACGAAATTCTCGATCACGTATCGCACCTCATAATACTTGATTTTTTCGCTTGACTCGAAATTTAACGAAATTTGCACACCCACTCGTTTTCAGGAGACGAATTCTCAGCCGGGTAATTCAAAATTTCAATTTTTAGTTTGCTTAATAGCCTTAATAGCGCGTTACCAGTCTAATTAATTTATGAAATTTATGGGGTTTCACAAGCTCACTCTTAACTACACACCTTTTATCACTCTGCTGTAACTCCCCCAGATGCAATATTCTTCATTTACACTATTTATTAATCCAAATAAAGTCAAAAAAGGAAAGGAACGTCACAACCAGTTCATGACTTCCACAAAGCTTTCCATTCCTGATCGAATAGGGCTTCAACAGTGTCCTATGATTTCTTGGTTGCCTGCACATGTCAACTCACATTTATCTATACCAAACAAATGCTCTCAAGGTCTAGGAAATAAAAAACTTAGTAGTAGTACAGTTTCACACAAGCAAGAGAAAATTGTCAGCTTCAGTAATCCAACCCTGGTCTCATTAAATTAGATTACAATATGGATGGTCTACTACGTAAAACATTTTACATAAGCCGTATATATCTCAACCATGTCGGAGAAGAATTTGACCAAGGTTAATTAGTTATGTCTCGTCTAGATTAAAGCTTGAAGATATGCAAGCATACACACCTACATGTATAAATCTTGAAGATATGCAAAGCATACACACATACTTGTATAAAAGGAAAACAGCAATTGAGGTCTCATATGATAATGTTCCAAGAGAAGAATTCAATTCTTTCTTTCCTTTTAAGAAGGGAACACCTCAAAATATTAAAATTCATTTATATCTATACTACTAATAAAAGTACGTTAAGTGAAAAAAATTTGATTTACTATTTTATCCGTATAAAGAATTTTAAATATTACATTATCTTTTCATAGTTAAATAGCTAAATTACAATTACAACCTTCTGTATTTAAATCTTCAAATTACCCTCTAACATCTATTTTAATTCTCTATTATCTTTGTATAAATATCAATATCTAAAAAAAAATTAATTCACTATGCAACCCTTAAAAGAATATATGCATCATTATAGTTTTTAATTACGTGTTTAAAAAGTCTATCAATAGATCATTACTATTTTCAAAAAAAAAAAATAACATTATTTCTATATATATGTATTTTTTTTTATCTATAATACTAATAAAAGTATCTTAGAATGAAATACTTTTGATTCACTATTTTACTCTTATAAAGAATTTTAAATACCACACTATCCTTCAGTAGTTAAACATTAAAATTACCATCTTATACTTATGTGTTTAAATCTCCAAATTACCTCTAACATCTCTTTTAATTCTCTATTCACTATGTATAAAGATCAGTATTTATGAAATTTTTTAATTGACTACGTTACCCTTAAAAAAATATATGCATCACTATAGATTTCAATAACTTCTTCAAAAAATTTTCAAAACTTTCATCAATCTAACATTACTCATTTCAAATATAAAGATAACATTATACTTATATATGTATATTTTTTTTATCTAAAATTTCAACCATTTCATTTTTAAGATAAAAAATAATATTTTATGTATTTTTTTTTAAATAATTTATGTTAAATTAACATAATTTTTCAATCACAATAAATTTTTCATGTTTTATTAAGATTTTATATAAAAAAAATTATAGCGTATTTGTAATTAAAACTTGAATTTTAGAATCTTAATATTCTTTTAAAAAATATATTATAGAGTAGTATATTCTATTTTAGGAATAATAGTACTTTTAGTCCCTGAAATATACATGTTTTATCAGCTTGGTCCTCGTTGTATCAATTTTGCCATTTGGTTTCTAAATTAAGTTAATGGTTTAAATGATCTACATATAGACAATCTGTTCAATTTTTAGCATAAGTGATCACGTGCTGGTCATGTGATACTACCTGACGGAATGACACGTGGTTACTTCCATCAAAAAAATTAATGGACCGTCTGATTAGGGACCATTTAAACAATAATTGAATATTTTATGAACCAAATTGATAAAATTCATATATTAAGGACGAAATTGACAAAAAAAATGCATACTTTAGAGACATAAAGTATTAACCCTATATTTTATCCCTATTGACCTAAGAATATTAACAATTATTGTTATTTTATTCAATGAATTATAAGTTGAAACCTAATCAAATTAATTTCAAATGAATTATTTTTATCTTTTTTCTTATAGTTAGAACAACAAATCGTTGAGAACAGACAATAGTTTCAAATTTTATATTATAATACAAGTGATAAAAATATAATTTTGATAAACTTGAGATGATATTTAATGTAAGTACACATATACCCAATACTTTTTATAAATATTTTATATACGAATACTATTCACGTGCAAAGCACGTGTTGCATTGGTAGTAAACCTAAAGATATCTTAAAATCTTGCAAATGAAACATGCAAGAATCCAAATGATGCAGCAAGGAAGAGAGAGCAGATACACAAAAAATTGTTACCATCAGTGGCCCCTTCGGTGGTAGAACCACAAGAACCCAATAGTTCAGGCTTCCTTGACCAGTACTGTTGAAATCTCTGTCTTGCATATTCAATGTAGTCAAAATCAATATCATTGACATGTTCCTGAAAAGATAAAATGGGTAAATTCAAATTGGGAAGTCCACATAAAGTTGAATCACCACATAATTCCTAGCCTATCACCATGCCATCTCAGAAATTTCAGTTTATGCACAAAAGACTAGTCAACACAAACAACTAGAGGTGCTGCAGAAGAAATGTCCATTATTTATCTACATGGCTCTTTTAGAAGCTAAGATTAAGTCAATTCCTTACAGCAGGTAGGGATGAGGCTGATTCTTCAGCTAAGCATGGGTAAATACCTCCACGTTGTAAAGAGGGTATTTATGTGCAGCTTTAGAGGATAATATTGTAGTGGTTGAAGTTTTTCATTCCAACCTCTTTCTTTGTTCCCCTTTGCATAATACTCTTGTTCTTTTCTCTTTTCATTACAACTAGGAGAAACTTTCAATCTTGCTAATCTTTCTGTTACTCTTTTCCATTATACTTCATTAAGTTGATTCCTATCACGATTTGAGAAACAACTCACTTGACCCAGTGCAGTCCTGAAGTTAACTATTTCCTAGTTGATCTTTTCATGTGGCAAATGTTAATCATGAAAGCTAGGAAGAATAACTTACCGATATTATGCCCCATAAGCCCCAAAACAAATGGTTTGCAAGAGTATACTTCTCCACTTCTTGAACGAACTGCTCCATTTTCAGGTCACTGGGCTGATCACCTGCATAGAGATCTTAAAATTTGAGAGGATAACAACAAGCACGGCATTTTTCTTCTTTCAAAAACAAATCCTAGATGAAACCTGTTGTATCTGATAACAAATTGACATTGATAACCAAATTGAATCTGTTGGTCGTTTCATGGAGTGAAAATCAAATACAAGGGCTGTTCAATTTAGAGACAGCCTTCGCTTGGGTGTTCTTGGGGATTGGAACGAATGCCTTTCTAGCCCCCCGCGTACCAGGGGAGCCACCTATGTTTGTCCAATTTTCTACCGGACACAACCTCTAGGGTACCTCTATTCTTGGCCTTTGTTCACTCTATCACATTACTTTGTGGTGTGTTCTTGTGCTCATTCAAGATGCATTTTACACTAGTTTCACTAAAATATGGGAAATCTCCCTGCTTATCCTTCACCTAAAATTCTTTGCATTGGCAAGTATGGTCCACAAACGCTAGCAAGTTGAAATCATGCAATGTGCTTTCTCCTTCACAAGTAAACAAAATAACTGATGTCCTAAACCTTTATAGTTGCACATGTTCTCCTTTTCTGTCATTCGCTCAAAAAGATGACCAGGACCTCGGATATGCTCGAGGTCCTAAAATTAGTTAATTCATTAGGCAATCTATCACCAGTTAGTGAGCATGCAGGACTTGATAATAACCTGTTGAACCTAACTACTAGATGAGTTAGCAATAGCTGTCGGAGCCCTTCCATGAAAAGTACCAAAATGAGGTTTGAACCGATTAGTACCTGAACAACTCAGATAGACACAGAGAAATCTTTGCCGCTCCTCCAAATCTGTTGCAATTTGGAAATCAAGAGAGAGCTTATTTAGATTTGACATGCAATGTTATTATAGTTGAAGACAATTAACGAAATCAAAGACGGAGAAATAATACGAACAACATCAGTCACCCACCAGGGTATTTACTATAGTCCAAAATATGAGGGGTTTCTGTGTGATAATCCGCAGCCATTTCACAGAAATGATTTGCAATATCAAAGGCAACAGGGTTGTAGCTGGCGTACTCATAGTCCTGCACATGAGGTAGAATTTAAAGGAATAACAGCTAAAATCATCAGAACGATGTTGGGAATATCAATAAAGAACAACACAAAAAAACTTGAACCATACTGCAAATCCTCAGCAACAGCTTTCGCTTCATAAGATCAGGTTTGCCCTCCTTTTTTATGTGGCGTAGGTTATCTGATTTTTTTATCTTCTGTTAGTTCTTTTTTTTTTTTTGTGTGTGTGTGTGTGTGTTTTTTTTTTTTTTTTTTTGGGGGGGGGGGGGGGGGGGTTTAGCTTTACCATATAACTCCGTGGAGGAAAAAATCTAAGGAACCTCGATGAACGAAAAAGAAGCAAGACCCACTTGTCAATTTCAGTTGGTGACCATCAAAATTCATAAAAACTTCGTGAACTAAAAGTTTTTTGAGGTCATGATGAGCTTGCCTTTGTTTCATCAAAAGTACAATTTTGATACAGACATTTGTGAACTCTCGAGTAGAGTCTTAAAGAATGACCAGGTTTTAAAGAGATCACTAATCAGATGCAACAAAAATCAAATAAAGCAGGATATTAAAAGGTTGCAGCCTGGTACCAATTATACCAGATAAATATATCTTCACTTCCTCTCAATAAAAGAAAATCCATAAGGTGTTCCATCACTGCCCGACAAGTCACTCAACTGGGCTACCTACATGCCCTGGGAACGTGGCCGATACACTACTAAAGAAAATAACCAACCCAGATCCATTCATCATACAAGCACTAAATCACTATATCTTCCATCTTTTTGGATCAAGAACCTCCAAAATTCATTCAGGACCCCAAAGGATACAAAAAAGATATTCTGATTATCACAAACACTCAATGTAAGCTCTAGCAGTGTGGACTAACCAGTTCACCAAGCTATGCAACAATAATAAGTGAAATAAGTATTTTCTAAGCCCAAAATTTGAAAAAAAATATTGAACCAACTGGCTGAATATAACTGGTCAATGCATGAGTAATCCTATATAGAAAAGAAAGGCAGAAGAAAGAATCCAAGACACTTGCTGGGATATCTTTCATGTAGAGGAAGAGGCTAACACAAGCTAATGCGGCTCAAATAGGCCTCTCTAATAAAGAGAAAATAAAAAAACCAAAAAAGTTCCATAACAGTGGGCAAAAGTTAGCTATTTGACTGGCTTAGGGTAACACAGCCTATTTAGTTTTTCTAATGTAGTAAGAGCATCTTTTAAATGTTCAGACTGGCTGAGGTCAACACAGAAAAGCCCATACCCAAGTCAAAGACTTGTGACTAGCACCAAACAAGACCAGTCTAAAAAGCACATCATTGTTGTACAAGATTTTTCTTTGTGCCCAGTTCCATTTCTTACAGTATGAGACAGCCTATTGGCTTAAAGATCATCTTTAAGCATCTCACTTGCTCGAGGATGGATCTTGATGTGTCAACCAGTGAATAGCTATAAAGAACTCACAAAATATGAGCTATATTAATTCTCTCCATTCCCTAGCTCTAACATATATTATTGTTCCAATAGAACATACAACTGTAAGCCAATAAAGACGAGGGAATCTACATGATAATGAAGACTCCCCAAGCCAAATGTCCTCCCGGAACCTAATTCTCATGGATGTAGAAAACTGAGGCTAGTGATTTAGATGCTGCCTTGCCTTGGAAAACTGAGTCACAGAGACATCTTGACAAGAATGGTTTGCAGGAATGGACAATGTACAGGCTTCTAAGTTTTACCAAGAGAAATTACAAAACATGTTAACCAGCTTATGGAGATACTTACAATTATGGTTATTGATCTGGTCTCTTCGTCAATCATTATGTTACCATATTGTAAATCGTTGTGGCAGAATCCGATGCGTTCATCGTCACCTGAGAGATTCTTTTCCAATATGGATATCTCCTCCTCTATGGCATCCAAGTGAAAGGCCTCAACTTCTTCAGGGGAAGACATACTTTTGGCCGCACTAAGCCATTTACTGAAGCATTAGAAAAAACCAAAAAAAAAATTAAAATTAATAAAAGCAAGAGCAAATAATAGTCTGAGGCATTTTGGGTGAGGTGTAACTTGACATCTATTCATCAGAAAAGGCAAATGCAAGAGCATACCGCAATCTATCCCAAAGGACAACAGTCTTTGGACCAGGCATATCAAGATCATGGAATTCCTTCATTTTAGCTGCTATAAGGGAAGATATTTTTGGATCACGTAAATCAGGAGCCGACAGTGTCTGAAATTCCCACAAGAAAGGACAAAACATTTAAATAGTTTTTCAGTGTATCAACGAAGACCTTAATGTGATAAATTGACGTTGCACAGATTGAATTTACATGGAACTCCAATAGTTAATTTATTCACACTCTCAAAAGCAAGTATAACTGCATGCTGCATAACTCTAGCAGCTATAAAACACAATCTACTTTCACCTAAGAAACAAGCCCACAAAAAAAGTTTTATTCTTCTTAAAAATCAAGAACATTTTAAGATAATGGCAACAAAATGAATAAAATCTCCAACCCCATCACTCCCTTTTGTATGCCATGCCATCAGTTTGCCCGTGTGCTACAAAGGCTGTGGTTAGAAAACAAGGAAATTTAACCTAAAGCAGATGTGACTTAAATTCGAACCACATACAAATTTGGTGCTACAAAGATTTTGACTTCATTTTCCAGTTTATTTCCCTGCACGTTTCTTCATTTGTCATATCACAAATCAATAACATAGCCTGTCCAGTTTATGACAGTTTTCCCTTCATCATAAGTTACAGTTCACATGATTCCCATAGATCCAAGGCTTGGCACACTTACACCCATCAAGCTGAATTATTTATAGCATGCCAGACCGAAGTGTGAATCCTTAATGGCATTTGCTAGTCTTCTGTCATGTGATTCCTACTCGTGCTCTCATGAATGATTAAAGCACTACAAAAAGAAAAAGAAAAAAAAAACAGAAAGAAAATCTTTAAGAAATATCATGTGTGTGTGTGTATATTCACACATTATATAAAAACAACATTGCCTGCGGAAGAAGACTAGCCACTATTCGAAGGTACAATAAACCTGATACTTCAATGGTTGGAAAAAAATGAAATTAACCAAGTAGAAGACAAGGTTTCAGACAACAGAGCACACACATGCCTAAAATGCAAAAGGCCCATATATCAACTAAGATTGTGATATTATACTAGTATTGTGTGTGATTTCTACCTTGATTGATCTATATCAGACTTAATCATGTCAAAGAGTGACATGGCTACTCATACGCCTAATAAAATCAGATTGAATCCACATAGAAAACTTTTTTTTTGATCAAAATCCACATAGAAAACTCAAAATGAAATCAATTGAAATAAAAAGCCCATGACACTAGTTTTGGCACCCCAAATAACACAGGCATACAGACGATTGTCTGACATGGTGAAAACCTTTAAGATGGAAGTGTCATCAGTAGCCAGATTATCAAAAGGCTTTCCAGGAAATCTGGCAGCTTGATTCTTTCTTCATTCCATATTGGGAAGGATTGTAGGAAATCATACAACGGCACTTCTTATTTCTTCTTCAAGGATAGGTCTATGAAAACATATTTAACAAGCAATCCAATCCAGTAACGAGTATTTCCCTTGGAGTTCTCTATCTCATATTTTTTGGTTGCCCTGTCTTTCCATATAATCAATAAATCTATCTCCTATAGTTGTTCACCTTTTGTATACGACTTTAGGGTCTTCATAGACATTTCTAAGGTTCAAATACAAATGTAAGGTGAGCTTAGTTAACACTCCGTTGTTATATACTTGATGCATTTATTGAGACTATTGATGACTTTTTCTTGGGGTACTAGGTTAGCCTTCTTGTAGTTTCTACTAGCCTCAGTTGTTTCTTTTATTTTTTCTAAGTGAAATTCTCCCTATACAAGTGGTTTATTATCACGTAGGAGTTTTAAATAGAGACGCCTCTAGGTATACTACATACAAGAGTTTAATAATGATCTTCCCTGAGCTAAGAAACACAGACATGAATACGACACAATATTTTTCAAAAAAGTAGGACACAGACACGTTTGGGATACGTTTAATAATATGTATTTAGATATGTGTGTGTGTGTATAATCATGTGATAAAATAAAAATATTATCATAATAATCTTTCAATTCATCCTTCCACTAAGCCTAAAAATTCACATCATGATATCACTACATCAAAAATACAATATAAGATATACCGATACACATTAAACATTAACGTCCATGATCCAACAATTTATGAATACTACAACTTCCATTTTCAAAAATATTTCGCTTCGTAACACTAATTTTCATCAATTCAAAGAGCCTCAATTTTGTAACCACATTTTTTATCACATTACTTTCATATTAAAAGTTTATTTCATTTGTATATAAGTTCGTATTCCCGTATTCGTATCCAAAATTATGTTACATTCATGTCCTATGTTCAATATAGTGATTATAACTCCTTTTATATTATGACTTTGACTCATATTTCTTTAAAATTACAAAAATAACTCATAGTTATAAAGTTGTCTAAAAAGATATCAAAAATTTGAAGAAAAAACATGTCCCCAGGGTGTTGGTTGCGTGTTCCCAACGTGTCCTGAGCGTGTCGGCCACGTATCCCCACCGTGTCCAAAAAAAAATTTAACAATACAAAAATCAGACACTCATTTTAACATGTCCAACATGTGTCTGAATCGGATTCGTGTCTGACACCGACACTCTGGCCAAAATGAAGTATCCGTGCTTCCTAGTTCAAGGGATCAATCATTCAATCTATATCATCACCAAGATAACAAATCATGCCAATCTCCACGGAAACTTTGGCCCTGTCGCTTTGAGAATAAACTTAGAATTAAACTTCTGGTAGAGAAGCAACAATGACAAAAAATAGACATACCCGTGCATGAATAAACTCCTCGATTCGCCCATTAGAGAACCGTGCTAGTAGACGAGGTCCTTGCCCTTGCTTGGACATAAACTCAAATGTTCGGATCTCTATCTCACGGTCAAAGAAGATATCTACACTTTCACCATAAATCCTAACTATTACCTTCTGTGAGTGTTCTCTATTTGTCGGCCACTTAATTTGGTAAACCGCATTGGTCATAGCACCCTTGAGTGGTATCACCTGTAGTTCATTTGGATCAGTGATGTCATTCCAGCTGGATGCCATTGATTGCAATATTCTTTTTGCCTCTGCTGGTAGTCGACCTTCTTTGTTAACGATGGCATTGTCAACAGGACCCATAACTAAAGATGCACCAGATCTCAACACGACCAATGGCAAGAATTTCTTGACTGGATCAAAAATTGAATGAGGAAATCCTTTATCTGAAAGAGAAACAATAATAAAAAGATCACATGCACTTCAGCTAGGCTAACCAATCTAAATACAATGACGTCACATGCATAAATGAAGCAGAAACCATCCTAACCGCTCCACAATTTCCTATTAACTAAAAACCACCCCATCATTTCATTTTTGAAAAAGAAAATTCCTGCTGCAATTAAATTTGATTTTGGTAATTCTAGTTCTTCTGGCAAATAAGATAAAAAAAAAGGGTGAAAAGAAAAAAAACATCCATGAATTATTCTGTCCTCATTTTATAAATAAGAACTTGCAACTGCTTATCCTGCGCTCTGGCTGGTAACCCATTCTGTTCAGTACAAAGAGGGAATATTTGTGCATTAGCTAGGGAATCCAATAATCATATCTGTTGTTTAATGGCACGTAGATTTTTGTTAATGCATGTAAGTGACAGAAGCAATATTATCTTGCATTCAGCCCAGTCATGTTTAACCATGTGTCCGTGAAGGCAACATGAGTTTACAACAAATAAATATGCTAAAATACAAATTCTGTAATTCGTAGACAATCTTCGTTAACAAGCACTAAAAGATTATGACAGCCAAATCAACATTTATGGAAAAGTAAACTGAAAGACGGATTCTGTAATCAAAACACTGGAGCAGTTGAGGTTGTTTCATGCCGCATGCATATGAATATTCCATCTAATTGATTAAGGTACCCAGTTCAATTTATTTTGTTAACCTTAAAAAATGCTCCATTTGATTGCCCATAATTTGTTAACAAGAGAAGTGAAACCATGGAACCTTACCGGTACCACGAAAATCCCAGCCAATTGTATGATTGCAAGTTTTCTTGATTCCTATGCATTTTTTATGCTGCCCGGCGGTGTTTAGTGCCCTAATTGTTATAATATTCCAGGTCTTCATGCATTTCTCTACTAACCCATGTCACTCAATAGAAACACCCATCCTGTATAAGCATATCAAATATGGATCCTTATCCTAGAATTCATGAACAGAAATTAATCCCCACAAATCTTGAGGTACCCACACTGAATCAAGTAATTTGACTCTTAGATCTGTTGGACATAAGAGCATCTCTAGCCCTTACACTTTTTTAGACCCAAACTTAAATTTTAGTAAAAATAGTCCAAAAACCTTCTCCAATCCTATACCCAAACTCATGCCAAATCAAGCGAGACTCAAATTTTTAATCAAATCACCGATGGTTATATTTTATTCACCCCTTTAAATAAATTTGAATTTGTCCCTTGAAACCTTTGTATTAAATCAAGTTTTTTCTTCAAACATTGACTCAAATTTGTCAATAGATGCTCTAAGATTATTCAAGTCAATACCATGCAATGGAACGAATGTCAAATTTTATACCTCGTGTGGAATTAGCATACGTTTTAGGGTGTCAAGATAACTAATTGACTTGGTAGACCTATCCAACATGCGATCAGAAAGGGACCAAGACTTGTAAACAAAATTGAGGAAACAAACTTCTCGAAATTGTGAAGATCAGTTGAAATATATTCTATATCCAATTCTACATCAAAGTAAGGGACTTTTAAAACCTTAGCACCTCCCTCCGCATCCTAGATCAGTCGGTGGACAGAATCAAGTGTACTGCAATGCACCATGCCCGAAGAAGGTAAGAGGATCCATATACCACTCAAAAACTTGCAGCGTTTTAAAGATATTATAGCAATTGAGATCCTCAAGTTTTCCTTTTCATAAATTTTCTCGGTAACCAAACGCAGTACGAAGGAAAAAAAAATCAATCCATTACCTGTCCAAGAACTGAAGAATCCGAAGAGATTTGTAGTTTGGACGACCGGCTCAAAGGACTCAAGAATCGTTTCTATTTACGCAGCGCAGTGTGGAGTCGGTTGAAGTTTTTTGCGGGAGCTCTATAGATTTAGGAAGGAAATAATCAAATCTCCTTTGAAAGGCCATAGTAAAATTACACTTCAATCCCCTTAATTGTGGTTTTTTATCTCATTTTTGCCTCCTAATTATCAAATTTCTGACATTTCTCTTAACTACTTTGATTCATTTCATATTATCTCAAAACCAAACAACTGGCATATTCTACTGGAAAAAAAAATACCTAAATGTGTAGTAAATACACTTCTTTAGTATTTATAATAAAATTTAAGCCAATTGATTTGATATTATCCCAAAACAATACGAACATACATATTTTTGATGAAAAATGTCATTTATGTACTAAATTATCTTCTCTAATATCTATTATTAACAATATTTTTTGTGTCAAAAAATACTCAGTAATATCAAAAATCAAGCATTGATTGATTTAATATTTATATTTTTAAATATAAAATTATTTTTTATTTCTTTAATTATATAATTTAAAATTAAAATGAACAAATAGAAAATAAGAAAGAGCTAATGTGTGGATTAGTAGGCTTTGTATAATATTGGAGAGTGTGTTAGTTAAGTTACCTAATATTAGGGATCATGCAAATAAAATGATATTTTTGAGTGATAAAAAATTATTTTGATGAATTTTATACAATTATATCAAAATAAATAAAAATTGAATTAATCTTGATCTTTGTTGTACATTTATGAATTGAAAATTCAACTTTTTGATTGTAATATTTGATAGACTAGTGGAATGAGAAATCAATGAGAAAATGTATGATGTGAAAAACATAACAATTGAGGGATAATGTGATAATGATTGCCATAATTAAATGTACAATGTGAGAAAACTTATTGTTGAGGTGTAACATGAGAAAGGAGAATTAATTAGGGGATCAAAGTGTAATTTTCAAATAAAATATTTAACTAATATGAACGACAGCGTTGGATTAGGAGAGGAATCAAATCTTGCACCGGTACGTTTGAAAATGTCAAGAGAATATGAACGCCACATGGAATATGCGTCGTCTGTCTGTAAAGATGAAAACACTGGTGACGCTGATGCGTCTTGCACTTCCCTTCATTGCAGCACAATGGGTTTCTAGTAACAAATCACTCTCTCTCTCTCTCTCTCTCTCTCTCTCTCTCTCTCTCTCTCTCTCTTAGTTTGCATGTAAATAAATTTAAATAATAATTAAAAAAAATAAATTATATATATAATTAAATTAAATAATAATTTTAATTATTATTAATTTATTTTATAAGTTTTTGAGTATTTAATCTATCATTTATTTTAGGTATTTGTACACTTAATTATATTATAGAATTATTAATTTTTATTTTGTTAAATAGATTAATTAGATTATTTATAATATTATTATATTATTACATACTAAAAAATAAAATATAACATATATTTGACTGTAAATTTAATCTGGTAATTATATGTGTATAATAATTTAGTATGTACATGACTTTACTTATTCATATAGATATAAAATATTGTATGTAATTGTACAACTAATAAATAAGTCGAAAAGAATTTAAAAGTTTTTATAAAGAGTTCAAAATAAGTTGAAAATCAAATAAGAATAAAAAAAATTACATGAAAATATATAAGTAGGTATAATTAGGTATAAAATAGGAAATTAAAAGTATTTCAGATGATGACATTTATAAGTAGTATAAATATAAATATATATATAGATATAGATATATCTATATAATAAAACACCTAAGGGTTTGAATTGTTATCTCACACATATTTTTTCTCCCAAAATCATCTCATCACCCAATTTTATCACATATTTAATTATTTAATATTTAATTAATTTGTAGTTTAACACAATTTTTAATTCATACATTGTACATATATGATAGTGTATACGTGTTGAAAAAAATTTGTCAAATTATGCATCTTGAGAAAATTTTGATGTCATTTTTAAAAAAAATATAGATAGAAATTAATTTTAAATGATGTAATCAATTAAACGAATAAATAAAAAATTATTATTTAATATATTGGGATCAATTTTTTAAACTCTTAAATCTTATATTTTATCGTGCCTTCAAGCACGGGCATAGGTTATAACTAGTTTATCAATATTATAGTTAATGCTTACTATAATTAGGAATTAATGGCCCATTTTGTTAGTTTTATTCCTCATTATATGGATTTTATCCTTAAAATATTCAATTATTGTTTAAATGATCCCTAAGCAGATGGTTCATTAAGCTCTTTAACGAAAGTAACTACATGTCATTCCTTCAAACAATATCACATGACTAATACGTGATTACTTCTGTCAAAAACTTAATAGATTATTAAACACTAAAGGTATCAAATTAACAAAATATGTATATTTTAGGGACTAAAAGTGATATTAACCCTAAAATATAATATATTACTCTATAATATATATTTTAAAAGAATATTAAAATTCTAAAATCCAAATTTTACTTAAAAAAATACTATAATCTATTTTTATATAAAATTTTAATAAAACATAAAAAGTTTACTGTAATTGAAGAATTATACTGATTTAACATAAATTATTTTTAAAAAATACGTGAAATATTATTTGTTTATCTTAAAATGAAATAGCTATACATACAGATGTTACGAGATATTAACAATGCACCACGTACGTTACACGTGAATATTTTTTGTGTACAAAAATTAATAAAACATATTAGATATATGTGTATCTGAATTAAATATCGTCTCAAATTTACCAAATTTAATTTTTCATTGCACATATTCTATTTTATGATTATAAAAATTTTGTATGTTCTCAAAATTTTTTATTCTAACTACAAAAAAAAAAAGAAGCTAAAGTTCTATTTTTTATAGAATTTTGTGATTGAGATTGATTTTTTAGTGATATTTGCGAAATTAAATTTTTTGAAATTCATTTAATAAAAATTTTACTTATAATTTATTGAATAAAATAAAAGTAATTGTCAATATGTTAATCACATTGGAACCTTACCGTAATTAATTAATTAGGTCAACTGCGATAAAATTTAATATACTACTCTATAATATATATTATCAAACATATTAGAATTCTTAAAAATTTAAGTTTTAGTTAAAAATACATTACAATATTTATTTTTACATAAAATTTTAATATAACTTAAAAAATTATTGTGACTAAAAAATTATACTAATTTAACATAAATTAATTTAAAAAAATTATATATACGATTATTTTTTATCTTAAAAACAAAGGATTAAACTTTTGGATGAAAAAAAAGACATATATAACAGCATAATATTATCTTTACATATGAGATGAATAATATTAGATTGATGGAGTTTTTTAAGGGTTTTTGAACACTCTATTGAAAATATTCTGATACATATTTTTAAGGGTGATATAATAAATCAAAAAATTCTATAGAAACTAATTAAATAATTAAAAGAGATGTTATAGATAATTTGAAAATTTAAAGACATAATAATATGATGGTAATTTAGATATTTAATTGTGAAATGATATAATGGTCTTTACAATCCTTTATAATGATAAAATAGATATTAAAAAAATTTGCATCTTAAGGTACTTTTATTAGTAATAGTAGTAGTGTGTGTGTATATATATATATATATTACACACAACTTAAATACTTTATTAAACTATTGAATGACCATAATATCATTTAATAGCTAAAAAAAATACACAGGTAAAAATCTGCCATTAGTTGAAATGTGTTGAGGTGCGCTCCTAATATTCAAATATCATCCAATTTTGAGCTGTAAGGTAAACGAAAGGTTAGAGGAACCCCCGACCCTAATATTCAAATATCATCCAATTTTGAGCTTAAGGTAAACAAAAGGTTAGAGGAACCCCCGACGTTGAGTCGGGGAAACTCCTTCAATGCCTAAGTTAGTATTATAATCAATACGTATATAGACAAATATATAAACTAGGAAAATAATATAGGAGTGTGTGAAGTATGGAGCCGAGATGCTGATACTTGAGGCCCCCTGCCTTTGGTTCTTCACCCATGTTTATAGAGAAGAGAGAAAGGGGAATAATTACTTACAATGTTGGATTGTACAACCGTCAATGCAGGAGATAGGCATAAGTTAGTCTACTAAAACACTGATTACATGTCATTAATTATCGATGGGTCTCACTTGTTATATATGTCAATTCATTTATTTTCCTTCCCCCTACTTGACAAAAATGTACCGCTAAAAAATTTAAATTTTCGTACATATTAATAAATGTCACGTAATGCCACGACTCATTAGAGTTGTCGAGTAGTAGCAAAATCATTGATCACATCTTCATCTCCCTTAGATTTTTCTTAACTCTCTCAAACCACTCCCTCGATTTCGATTGGTAAGAATAATCTTGTCCAATAAAATATTCATATGAGCTTTTTAAATATAAATGTTTTACCACTTACGTTGTGTCCATGATTTTTACGTACTTAGAAAATGGTCGTATATTTTTTTTTACATAATAATTATCCTATTTTTATACAAAAGATAAAACATCTTGAATTTTTTCAAAATGTTTTGATATAACTCCAAATGTGCCTAAATCCCATAAGGCCATATTTGAAGTGTATCTGTAGTCTGTACATACAAATCTAGGTGCGAAATTACATGAGAATGATAAGGTTAGTAAAAGGATACTTAATATGCAAATATAAGTATGTAATTATTTAAAAGTTTTGACGGTAAGCCCAAAACTCTATAACCCAAATGTATCTCCACCACCGCCTAAACAAAATTAATTATCTCCCTTGTTTGAATCAATTCTTTATTTGGTATTTGATAATCTAATTAACCGTTGTCACCACTAGTACAATCACCATTGTCATCAACACCACCATCGTTGTTATCGCCATCCTTCTATCACCGTTGCTACCCACCACCAGCTGCCATATTCACCCCTATCACCACCATCATAACTATTATGTCATATTTGCCACTGTTAAGCATTCTTATCATCACTACCGCCACCACTGTCACCCTATCACCACCACTGCTTTAACGTATC